TTGCTCTCGGAAGCCCATAAGAAGAGAGAGGCAGGCCTGCCAGCTGCGGGGTTTGGGGGCGGGGCCCGTGGGTCTCTAACGTCGCCTTCGGAAGCCCATAGAAAAAGCTTTCTGGGCCAAGCTGCGGCCTGCAGGAACGTTTGCGGGCGGGGCCGGTGGGCGAAGAGAAGGGGCAGGCTTCGGACAGGCCACAGAGAGGCCGCGGCAGGCCTGCCGGCTGCCGAGGAGGGTTTGAGGGCGGGGCCCGTGGGTGTCTAACGTCGCCTTCGGAAGCCCAGAGAAAAAGCTTTCTGAGCCAAGCTGCGGCCTTTGTTTGGCCAGTGCAGGAGTGATGCCGACGCAGTAGGGCTTTGAAGGCGGGGGTGGCTGCTTAACGTGGCATGCTGGGGCTTTCGTTTGCACTGCCACCCGTTCCACCCTCCGGTGTCCCTGGCGCCGCCCCGCTTAGGCAAGGGCTAAGCAGGGGTCGGCGGATATAGCTATTCCACAGTTTTTCATGTATGCAAACGACCAGTCAGTGACAGGACCTGGGTTTGGACGGTTTCGGGTGCTCAGATGTCGTCTTGAGGAGGTTGCCATCCCGCCAGGATGCCCAGTTGCTGGAGCTCGAGCGCCACAAGCTCCTCCACGGCCGCCACTGGGAGAGCACGGAGAAAGCAGAAAGAAAGCAGAAAGAGTTGAGCTGCAACATGTCGCCCTGGTTCTTCAAAGTGACCTGTGATGTCCCAGTTTGAGGTCACGAACAGGCCTGTAGGTTACTTAGGCACTCCAAAGAGGTCACTTTGAAGCTGGGCTATTTATTTTTACCTTATGTTTTTTGGAAGCCACGGACAGGACCGACAGGACCCCGGTGGTTGAGGCCAAGACAAACAATTTATTTGGCAGACCTGCACAGGTCCTGGCAAGATAGAGGACCACCATGCGATGAGGAAAGTGAATAGAAGTGTTTCTCATGGGTATGTGTTTTTTCAGGAAGACATGTATTTTTTTGTTTCTTGCTTGGTCCCTGAGCTCATGCAGGTTCCATCACGTCAGGCATTGCAGGTTTTGGGCCTGGCAGGAATGCAAGATCTACCGGTGCGCGCGTGGAGAAGTTGATCGTGAAGTCTCCCTTGATGCGCCTGAGGTTCTCGAGGGGAAGACCCGCATTTGTGCTGCAGCTCATCTGAATGAGTTTGGCTAATCATAACATCATGTAGCATATTATATAATATTATATATATAGTATATTGAATTGTATAAATAAGTAAAAAAACAATATACGGCTGATGACTCTGTTAAGAAAGACGCTTTTTTTTTAGAGTAGACTATAGATTATTTCTTAGCTATAACCTTTTAATTAAGAAATGTTGCTAGCAGGTAGACTCTAAATAAGGTTTCTTATTCGCTCTCAGCCGTCCCTCGAGCTCTAAATCGCTCAACCGCATCGCTATGCGCGTGGTCTTTGACTTCTTCGACCCATATCCCATCGAGTGCCTGGGATGGATTAAGTGGGGCAATGACATCCAGATCTTTGTTTTGTTTCATGGATTCAAGGGGGGCTTGAATGGATTGGGCTACGTACTCTAGTTTCCATCTAGAAATTGTAGCCAGGGATGGAAGTTCCGAACCGCCTGGCATTCGCAAAGCACGGGGTGGTACCGTAAATCCTTTCCATCCTCCTCTGGGCCAGGTGAGACTTGGTGATCGCTGTGCTCCGTTCCGTGTCACAGACGAAGTTCCTTCTTGGGGAGAAGCAGGTGCCTCTGGGCCATTGGATTTCATCATCATACGTATCCTGTTTGTGAAGAACACCCTTGGAATTCCTGACGTTTTCACCCTCGCTTTTCAGGATACATCATGATTACAAACAAACACCATGGACTTCCAGGGTGCACGTGGATTGAGATCTCCATGGATAGATTGATGAGACCAGATATGTTGATGATCTAAGTTGTAAGTTAAGAAGCTGGCGTAAATAGTTTCTTATTACAGCATGAGACCACTGCTGTTCAGGGTTCGAGCACTGATTGTGACACTTGCTATCCTCAAACATTGTTTGTCGAGATTTTGCCATGTATGTGACCATATGCTGCAATCCAAGGAGGTCCTCAATGAAACATGATGAAAGCAAGAAACACCAATCCATCGAATGTAGGATTCCCTGTGGCCACTGCGTCCTTGCTAAGCAATGGCTCCCAACCAGAGCCGCTTGAAAAGACTCACCCGCACAATCCCTCTGTGGGAGGTGGTCAGGCTTTGCTCGCTGCCTCCTGAACTGGTGCTTTGCTTGTTGCTGCGTGGGCTACACGACAAGCACTTCGAGAAGGCTTCAAAAAGTGAAGCCGATTGGAGCAGCGCCAGCCGTCGTGAGCGATCCTACAAGAAGCTGCTGGAAGACTTTGGATGCAGCCCGGACGTGCTTGACAAGTCTTTCAATGTGGTCTGGCAGAAAGTTGGCAGCGCCAATTCTGCTGGCAACAGGGTCACCAAGAAAGCGACGATGGCTGATGTTTTGGGCACAACCTTGAATTGGGAGAGCACTGATCGCACGACGTTGATTAACAATGACATCCTGGCCCGATTACATCATATTACATCTACGAACTGGAGCGCGACGTGAAGGTTTGGTCACCTTGTTTTGATTTTCGAGTCGAGCGTTCAGTGCCACTGTGCGGGACCAGCTACCTCAGGACGATGCCATGGCTTTAGGACAGTTCCGCCACAAAGTTCAAGACGCTTTGGATTCCGTGCCGCGCGTCTCGGAGCTTCTCACTTCCAGCTTCTGCGCCAGCGAGAAAACCGTGTGGCCAAGATGGAGCCTGGTGAGGCCAAGGAGTGGTTCGAGGGTGTGGTAAGGAGGTGGCACAGGCTTTGACCAGGCAGAAAAAGGGACAGACGGCTTGAGATCAAGTTGCGGCGCTGATGAGTTCTTTCGGGTTTCTTACAGCCAAGAACATCCAAGCGGCGTCAAGCGGCGCTCATTCACCACGCCATGTGCTCTGACAGGCTGGTGATCTGTGGGCCTGGTGCCACCAAGCTGGTCAACCAATTGCGTGGGCAGCATCGGGCGTGGTCGCCGACAGGCATGTCTATGCCTCTCCTTCTGCAAGTCCACGAAAACTTGCGGATCGCAAGGAGGCGGCTCCAAAAGCTCGCGAAGAAGTCGCTGACTGCCACATTCGGTGAGGCGCCGGCGCTTGAACAGGAACTCCAGGCGCTCATCCTTGATGACAAAGTGTTTCACTTATCAGCTTCACAGTTCCATTTCTGTGAACTGAATAAACAGTTGAGATCGATCTTCTCCAAGAAGGATGCCGAGACGGAGGACGCCTCCGAAGAGCAAGAGGATAATCACTGCTCGGACACAGAATCAGAAGGAGCTGCTCCTGACAAGAAACGGAGAAAATGAAGGGCTGCGTGTGGACTGGGCTTGTCGGTGATTGTAATCTTTTGATGCTTCTGGATGAAACTGCCACGCAGTGCAATGCGCTGACGGTGTCATGGCATGTTGGGGCCATTGTACTTCCGGGGTCGAGACCGTTGATGATCATTTTCCCTTGGGTTTCCAGGGAAGACAGATTGTTAGACTACTCTGGGGTGATTCATTGATTGACTACTCTGGACTTGCTGTGTGGCGGCGGTGTCCGGGTGGTGAGTTACACCTGTGTGCTCTGTGCGCTTTACCGAAGTGGGCCAGTCTGATTCCGGGCCTTCATTAGCCTGTAGACTCTGTACGTACCTCACTTACAGACCCCATGAATGACGCGGCGCAAGGGCTGCATTGTTTGACCTGTGCAGCCCCAAGCTTCAACGCCACTGGAGGCCCGTGTGGGCCATCGATCGGGTTGGAGCCTGTGTTCGGCTGATGTCTCTGACAGGTTCAGACCAGTTTCAGACCCATGTCAATGCTTTCATAGATAGCTGAAATCCCGATGCTCTTTGTCTCGCATTGAACTTCAGATCACTGGGCATCTGAATCCTCTTTCAACCTCAAGTTCCGAACCGTCAGCGCAAGACGCATGTGGAGCTGCAAAAGATGGTCATCGGAAGTTATTGGAGAACATGGAGTGGATGCATGAAGAGAGTTTTTAATTAGGTACCACTACGGCGGCAATTAAGTACCATTGGATGCATCGAATTACGACCGTAATGGTACCTACTTAAAAGCGAGCCTTCATTATCCTGTAGATTCTGTACGTGTCTCACTTACAGACCCCACATGGAATGACGCGGCACAAGGGCCGCATTGCTTGACCTGCGCAGGTGTTTATTTTCTGCTGGCCGTCTCCACGGCCTTCCCAAGCTTCAACGCCACTGGAGGCCTGTGTGGGTCATCGATCGATCGGGTTGGAGCCTGTGTTCGGCTGATGTCTCTGACAGGTTTCAGACCAGTTTCAGACCCATGTCAATGCTTTCACAGATATTCATAGATAGCCGAATGTATATTATATTACGTAAGTTGAAGAAGCCTATACGTACGTACATTGCAGTGTCTTGGATCATCATTTCCTGTTTGTGAAGAATACCCTTAAATTTCCGGGGCGCAGGAGGATAGACATGCCGTTTCCACCCTCGCTTTTCAGGGGACACAGAAAGCGGGAGTCATAATCAACAGCATTTATCTGGAGCCATTCATATCAACTGTACAGCCCTTGGAGTTCCAGGGCAAGCGCCGAGTTATCCAAGCTGCCGAGAGGGCCTGCAAAGCCGCTGCCAATTGTTGTGACTCGCGCAATTCGCACGATGTTGCGCCCGTCTGCCATGTGCATTCGTCCCAAATTTGGGCCATCTGCCACCTGTCGAACATTTAAGTGTTTCCCATGCATAGGTGTTGCCAGCGTGCGCTGCAGGTACCGCGGTCCTTCGTCTTGACTATGTGGCTTTAGGTGCCCACTATCTGGAAGCAAGACTAAGTGTGGTCGATTTTTGCACCCTTGGACCTCCGGGGCGCGCGCAAATTCTAAGGTCTTTGTTTCCCGAATCATTTCAAGAAATAGCATCTTGCAGTGGTGTTGGAGGATGCGCCGTAATGATCAGTGATGGCCTTTGACCGTTAATGCAGTCAATCGTGCAGTCTTGGCTTCAGGTTAACGCCATCCTTGGCAGCATGAGGGGACTGCTGTCTGTACATGGTGCTTGGTGTATCCCACATCCAACATGCATGCTGCATCGATTGGCGATAGAAAAGAAAACCCTTGTCAGGCCCTAGATCGCAGTTCACGCACCCCCATGCATGGTGACAATGCTAGTTTGTGTGGGTGAGAATTTCCAGGGTAGGGCGCCCATGGCTTCACTATGAACAAGCCTGCAGCACGCAGTGGTTGGAAAAGCGCGCTCAAACGAGGCATAGAATGCGGATTGATTCCAAAGGCCAAAAAGCCGTTCCAAATTTTCCTAGCGCGGCAGAAGCTGCAGGTGGGACCTGCGGCAAAGATTTGGAAGGGAATGAGCAAGGAAGAGAAACTTCCGTACGCCAGCGCGAACGTGCGCGAGCAGCTGGATTGCGCATTCGCCGTAGACGCGCGCAGGGCAGACCGGATTTGCCAGAGCCGGAGAAAGGAAAATTCCATGGCATTTTGATGGGACTTGACCAGCAATACGTGGTTGGAAAGTTGCGCGGCTCCGGGACATGGTGTAGTTTACAAGGCGACCCACCGCAAAACTGGTGTCATTGCAGCAGTCAAGGTAGAGCCTCGTTGTCACACAATCCACACTGAGCTCGCCTGCTTGGCAACTCTAGCCTTCGTTCAGGTAGAGGACAGTCTCATTGATTGGCAAGGGATGAGTTGGATGGTCATGCCGATGCTGAGGAGTAGTCTGATAGATACAACGGATACCTGTTGCTCCAGAGGCCCAGATGTCAATTTGCCTACAGAGCCTTAGTGGTTTGAGCTATACACGCATGGCAAATCTTTGGTTCATTATGATATTAAGCAAAGCAACATCATGTTTTGCGAGGACACTCGCAAAGAGCACATCATTGATTTTGGTCTTTGTATGAAAATACCAGCGCAAGAGTGCTCTGCATGCTGTACGTGCAATTATCGCCCGCCGGAGCTATTTGTTGCTAACTCCAAGCTTCGTGGCCGTCGGCTACAGCCAGCTTCTGACAGCTGGGCGATTGGCTTCACATTGCTGGAGTGTTTTTGGGAACCTTTTTTTTGGTGGGAACAATGAAGGGCACGTGGCCAACGCAATTTTGAACTTCACCAATGCGCACCACGTCAGTGGATCCAAAGAGCGGGCACACTGGGAACTAGCAATGGAAAAAGTGCCAGCAAATGCAGAGAACTGTGCGCCAACTGACCATGACGAATCCGAGCCACCGACGAGATTGCCAAATCAGGGCCTCTGAAGAAGTTTGTTTCTCCCCCGAGGGCTGACCATAATGTGGGGCCCCCATGCAAGGTATCAGTGAGATTGTGGAAGAATTAGGTTTTAACGTGGGCGCAAAATACCAATCGAAAAAGAATGTGTGGAACGCGGCTACATGGAAAGCCTATGAAACAGAGATACGAATCACCGAGTCGCCAAGTTGAAGTTAAATAACTTCCGCAACTCCTGTTCTAATGTTTTCAAGTTCATGTTAACCTGTCAGGGCCCCACATTGCACCATGAAAAAGACTTGCAGGCTTCTGCTTCGCGGCAAAAAGGGTTGCTATTTTATGACTCGACATTGCGCCTCTGACATGATATAAGAGCTTCGGAGTAAGTGTATACGGATGCAGTTCCTTTTGAAGTCAAAGGCTGACGGAGTTCCACGGCTTCTACAATGTCTTCGGTCAAACTGAGATTGTTCTTTTAGTCTAACTCAACCAATTGGAGACCATCGGATGTGAGTGATGCAGCTCTTGTTACTATTACTCTGCAGTGTTCATAATGTTTCGTTGCTTTTTCAATTTCATGCCTTGGAAAACCGGGGTTGACGAAGTAAAGACTTCCACTCTCCTAGAGTTTCTCGTCTTTGCAGGCGCTACGCAGCATACAGCTCGCCATCCGTCACTGCCCTCACGATCTTGAACGTCGCCGGAGGTACGCGTCGACCATTGGGGTTTTAACCTGTATTCAGATGAGGGTCTGTGAGGTTTCAGACCAGTTTCAGACCCCTCATTATCAAGGATCTAATTTTCAAAACTGCCGGCTATCCTGCCGGTGGGTTCGAGGGAGGGCGAATGGTAGCATTCTGTGGGTGTCTGAAGGGTTCAGCCTCATGTCAGGATTGGTTTCCACTTGATTTCAAACAGGTCTCAAAGCGCTTCCGCAAGTGCTGCTAGCACTGGCTTTGGATTTTCAGGGCAATAGTAGATTTCCGGGAGAACAAAAGTGTCTGGGATCAAGACGTCAAGGAACGACGCATTTCAAAGTCCACGGTGCCCCATTGGGAGCCCCATGTGCAGTATCATGCTGCTGTCCCGGGAGGTTGCGATATACACCCTCTCACATGGAACCCATGCAGCTCATTGCAAAATGGCTCCTATGACTTTAGTTCTTGGAGGACGTCGAAGGGGCTGCGGGGAAGTGCTACACGGCCCTGTTCCATCGATCTGGATATACTTCTTGTAAGTACAACCTCATTGGAGCTGAGCCGTCTGTCATATCCGGATTGCGCCTACGTAGCACAACTTCGTGATTTCATTGTAGACACTATATTTGCTCGGCTCCAAGACAGCGTGCAAACATGCAAACCCACGCACAGCAAACATGCAAACCTACGCACAGCTGCCAAGCTGAGGTCGGACGGCCGCTCTTGCATTGACATGCTGCTCTTCAAGCACCAGCGCCATCCAGAGTGGATTGTCGTCAAGCAGAAGAGGATCGCGCAGGTGACCTTCGATTTGAAAGCCGTTGATGGTGCTTCGGTGACAGCGACCTGCAAGGTAGAGCGCAAGTTCGCTGAGGCTGACGACGGGGTCACGAAGGGTCCGATTCTCATCAATGACTTGCAGTATGCGGATACCGTTGACTTTTTGCTTGAGGGATTGACGTGGCAAGATGAGAGGGATGGGCACATGGACAGAGAAGGAGTTGACATGGTCAGTGGCAAAGTGGATCTTCGAGGATGGCAGTCGGGTACACGACCAGAAGGACCGTGTCCTCGCCTCGTTCCTGCCCATTATCGTAGACAGGCAGGACCCCGCACAGCCTGCGCGCAGGCGCTGGCGGCTAAGTTGAGGATTATTTGAAGCGTCATCTGGGTTCAGTTTGCATAGTCGAGCATTTTGCGAAATGCCCAAGGGCTTTGTCGCCTGTAGCAGGCAAATCAACAAGCGATAACTGGATAGTTGAAAAATAAGTGGCTGGATCAACCATGGGATCACAACGCGTCTGCCTCCCGTGTATTTTCCAGTCATCCCCATTCCCGCCCGCCAGCAAGCAAGCGCTTCTGAAGGTTTCAGACCAGTTTTCGCCCACCGTTACATTGCGTTCTTTTCTGGTATACTGGTAGAATGAACCACGAATGCCACGCGATGGGTTCTTTTTTCACCCCTGTAACTCCGGGGTGTTGGATAGTCCCCGGGCTCTTGCAGGTGAGAGCTTTGTTGCGTCTTGCGAGTCGTGCAAGTGTGGCTGGCGAAAGATTCGGGAGAGAGGTTGGAACTTTCCTTTTTCCGAAGTTTTTGGAAGGTTGTGGCCCATCGATTGAGCTGTTGGCTCCTAGCCATGGGTATAAAACATCGTAATTTTTAAGATGTGGACCAGCCTCTCTTTTCCCGTTATCTCTAGTCTAGTCCCTCCCACCACCGCCCACCAGGTGACAATAGGATGCTCAGTTTGGGCTTCTGACGGGTTTCCGACCATTGCATTACGTTCTTTTGTCGTATAGTGGCAGGTTGGAACTGTCTTTTTTTCCGAAGTTTTTGGAAGGTTCTGGCCCATCGATTGAGCTGTTGGCTCCTAGCCACGGCCCGGTATAAAAACATCGTAATTTTTAAGATGTGGACCAGCGCCCTCTCTTTTCCCGCTATCTCCAGTCCCTCCCACCACCACCCAGCAGGTGACAATAGGATGCTCAGTTTGGGTTTCAGACCATTGCATTACGTTCTTTTCTGGTATAAGTGGCAGAATGACCCACCTGTGAAACATGGTCGTTCACCTATGAGGCATGGTCGTGTGGGTCGTGGAAGAGTTGGATAGAATGAAGTGGCATGACTTCATGATTCCAACTTGCAAGTGCACTTCATTGTGTTTCGTGCGCTCTCCTGGCCATGCGAAGACCAAGAAGAGCAGCGCGCGCTCTTTCTTGTTTTTCCTCTCTCTCTCTCTCTTTCTTTCTCTTTGTGGCAGGGCCCTTCAAATTAGGACTTAATACGTATTTAAAAACAACTTTTTTTTACAAAAATAGAATCTAGAAATAGCTTATTTTTCCCGAAAATAGAGTCTACTTAGTTTAAGAAAATTTCTTAACACAGATAGAAGCCGTATATATATATATAATGTAATTTTGAAAAACTGTTTGTGAGTGGAACATGAGGTCCGTTACAACCTGAAGTCGAAAATTATCCAGTTTCTCCCGTTTCCCTTGGCCCCGTGAGAGAAAGGGCCGCAAGAAGTCCTTTCCTGCCTCAGGTCCTTCACGTCGGACATGTCCCTTGGAACACCAATCAAGAAGTGAAAAAGAACTCTGTGGTATATTCGTTGGGCAAAACAGAAACGCGTCGCACCTCGTGGGGAGCGCCCGCCAGGAACTCAATGGGCATCCCGGATTGCTGCATGGTGGCTTTACATCTGCAATCTTAGACGATTTCACAGGCTTAGCTACTTGGAGACTTGGAGAATTCAAGGTTGTAGAATGGTGGATGGGCCACTGAACAGGCGTGGGGGGTTGGGTCACAGTTTGTTGTTGGGTCGTTTTTGTGGGGGTCCACACGACCAGTCAGTCTGCTGGTTTTCTCTGAGGATGGAGAAAGACGCTCAGGAGAGTCCGGCCTTTGCTCTTCCTGCTTTCAGCTCTGCAGAGTTTTCAGATTCAGAGTTTGCAAGCGAAAGAGAACCAGAGCGCGCTTGGCACGGAACAGACTGCAGGACCTTGGCCAAGATGCCAAGATCTTCACGGCGCATTTGGATTTGAGCTATCGACGTCCTTTGCCCGCCAACTCAGAATACCTGGTGGAGGTGTGTGTCGATCGGGTCGAGCGGCAAAAGAGTCTTGGAATGCCGAGATGTATATAAGAGAGAGAGAGAGAGAGTGAGGAAGCTGCAACAAGAATCAACAAGAGGCACCCCCGAAACTCTACATAAAGATCCATTTTCAGGCATGTTGCAATCTTGGCAAGCCACGAATCACTTTGGTCGCTTTGGTACGACTTCAGGAAGGTCTTCTTAACTGCGGCGATCTATGACCGATCTGGACACGCATGTGTCAAAGCCCGGGTGCTTTATATTGTGAAGAAAGCTGCGCCGAAGCCTTGAAGCCCACTGGGGGTCCGAGCGACCGGCCCGTGGCGGCATGAGCGCCGGGCACCGCGGAGCGAGCGGGCGGAGGTGCCGACGTGGTCGGAACGATGACGTGGTTTGTCCAGCAGCGCGTGGGACGATCCCCCGACGCCGCGACCGGAAGGCACGCGGAGACACCCGGGTCGAGGAGAAGACAAGCAAAAAGAACGTGCGCCGGTCAATGGGTGGACGTTGAGGGTGCGCGGGGAGTGGTTAACTCTGTGGTGCGCCATGTCACCGATGCATCCAGAATATGCAGCTCGAGTGATGCCGTGCCAGGCCCTACGAAAGCTCCACGGCAGAGAAGCTGGCACAATTGCACTCCCTTTTTGATTTTAATGTTGTAAATGCTCTGAATGCTAGAGCATAGAAAAATCATGGTTGAATACTAGTTTTTGTCATCACAAAGGTTTTGACATGTTTTGACCAGATAATTATTGTCCTTGACTGCCAGGATATAGCAATGCTTGGCACCTAGTTTGTTTGCTGTTTTGCTTTGTAGCCGAATCTTTGCTTGCCCATGGCAATTCTATGAAAAGAATGGAGTATGTACCTGGATCTTCCAACGTGGCTGGTTTTAGATTAAGTACCGCAGACATTACCGCAGACGCCGAGGCTAACGGATTACATCGGCCCGAGATGGTGCGCTGGGGGTGTTTTTTGTGGTTCCAAGAGAAGGGAAGGGCCACCCACAGGTCATGAAATTATTGTAAATCATCCCCCTGGAAGGCTCCTTTAAAAAGATATGTTTAGAATCAAAGATCCATATAGAACTAACAAACACATCACCTTAAATCCATAAATCCATAGAGCATTTTGAGATGGGATCTAGAACGTCTAGACCCAGATTGGGTGTCTGTGGTGCCAAATTGTGCAGTCTGAAGCTACAGGTTTGGATGCTTGGAAAGGCAGACTCTTACCTACCCCAGTCAGTGGATAACCTTTAACCTTTTTGGGGGGGATTGGTGGCGCCCCACGAAGCAAGAACAGGGGGACGCTGAAGAGGTCGCTCGTTTTGATTTCTTTCTTACTGTGGAAGTGGTCCCTCTAGCTTCCTCCATCAATCAGTTATTTTCAGGTTCCACGCGGGTCCTGGAACCAGAGCGTAACTGGAAGATCTGAGGGAAGCTTGAAGACTCCTTCCTCGGCTTGCCCAACTGGAGCGGTGCGGGAGACGCAACATCCTGACGGAGACCGGTCGGGGGACGCGGGAGGGATGCGCTGGACGCGGATGTTTTCGAAGTCAACATCCTCCAAGGCCGAGCCTTCTTTCCTAGCCGTTGACGGGTGAGCTCGCAGCCCAGGTACCGCAGTCCAGAGCAGCTTTTGGGAGCCAGGCAAGCCTCGCCGCCTCCAGCGCGAGCCTCCGCGAGCCACTGGTTTTTGGTGGGTGGGACATCCGGTGCCAGATGGGTGGCCATGTCCATCCCCTAAGTATTCCAACAGCAACATCGTTGACATGATTCGTTGGCAAGTGCTCCCTTTTCAGATAAGGGAACATCTGCAAGTGCTCCCTGCTTGGAAGAACCGTTTCCCCAATCCCAAGCACTTGTTTGCATAACGGATCCATACCAGAACTGTTTCTGGTTGGGACTGGGGAAACCCAGGAAGACCAAACAGTGAGAAGTCTGTGGTTAGAGGGTTAGAGATCAAGAGCTGACATGACCTGATCGTCGTCAGGGATGATGGAACTCAGATGGACTGAGATCAGATTTCCAGACGGACTGAGTCTTCGAACTAAAAATGCAAATTGTTTGCCTTTTTTTAATCTAGAATACCTACCCAAAGGCAATCAAAGGCAGACATGTTGCATAGTTGGAAGATCCAGATAATATACAGATTATACATCTCTGAGTACATCTTCTCTTCAAACCCGTGGAAATCGACATCCCCAGCCACCCTTTTGCGCTACATGTCTTCCTTCGACAGACGCGCCATGTCTGCGTCTCGGTGGGGAAGGGGGAAGGGGAAGGGGAAGGGTTCCTAACCCGCCCCGGTGGCGAGATACTATTTCACGGCGGTGGATCTTTGGGCCTGGGGTTGCATCGTGGCAGAGATGCACTTGGGGGACCGGCTCGGGCGGGAGGGCGGGCGGAGTCATGGAGGGGGCACGACGGTTCGCGGGGGTCATTCGACCGAGACTTGGCGCGTTGGGCAGATGACTAGGCAAGGCATTTGAGAATAGGATGAGAATGGAAAACAAGAAGCTACTAGTAGCTAGAAGCTACTAGGTGGAGGCCATCGCTGTCAGGTTGGAGGCCATGGTCATAGTAAGAAGAAGCTAGTAGCTAGAAGCTACTAGGTGCTGCTGGTTGCTTCAAGACATGTGGTCGCCTCTCCGAGGATCCATGACTTGTACTTGTAGCATCCAATACCAGCTCCCTAGAAGTTGAAAACACTATTATTTTTGCTCAGTGAAGAGAAGGATTTCTTGCCTCTCAGGTACGAAGTTGCCAGACTATTCTTTTCATAGTCCTTGACTCTCAAGGATCTATCCAACAATCAGAAACCTTCGTCTTCCTTTCAAGACCACGAATGTCTTGCCCAGTGCAAAAGGACCCGACTCGCCAACTCCGGCCTTCAACGAAGACGGCTCCGCCTGACGTCTCCGCCCGACTACTCCAGAAACCGATCTTGAAGGGCTCCTCAACCATCGACATGATGCACAATATCGCTGCTTGGACTCAAAAAGGTCGAAGCTCCTGTTGACCGAGACATGAAGCGAAGTGAACAGGAAGGAGTGACAAGCACTCGTGCCTTTGGGCACCAGGCTGTTTCCTTTGTTTGGGCTGGGGGGGGCTGTGTATATAGATTTAGATAGATTTAGCGCCCGTGGGCATCCTGCTCACTGGCCTTTCAAAATCACCGGACCTGATCGGGGGAAGGCCAATTCGGGTCGCATGTATGGCAATGTATGGCATACAGTATTTAGGTAAATGAACCACCTGAGGTGGCTTTTTTCAGTGGTCAATGTCATACATACATGGAGTGTCTGGGTTTTGGTCCCACAGCGGTTGGTTTGGTCCAAAATCTCGGTAGCACGGTGCTATCTCCGAGGTTGAGTTGCTTGGGACGCCGTTGGAGGCGAGGTTGTGAAGCAGTTCCATAGGTGCAGTTCCATGCGACGCAGATGCGATTGATGACGCCAGGCGGATGTCGACGCCATGCAGGCGGATGATCTGCTGCGATCGACGCCAGAGCTGCGATCGACTGGCCGAAGCCAGGAAATGACCCCATGTCTAGCCTCACAACATTTGTTGCACTGAAAAGATGTGCGACTGGACATCTGAAAACACAAACTCACCATCACCTCCAAGCTCGCTCACTGAAACCTTTGGCCAAAAGACGTAGACGCATGCAGACGCTATGTGAGAGATCACTCTTGGCCAAAACGCCCCTTCGACACGTTCATCGGACTCGGACGACACGTTCCCTTCACAACCACCGGGCGAACGGGCGTGGCGCGCGCGCCTGTTGGTTCCAGCTGTTCCAGACCAAGTCCCATCGCTGCCTGCTACGCCCCTGTGAGGCACCCTATGGGCACATGTCCTTGGGCCAGTTGCCCATCTCCTTGCCGGGAAGCCACAGACCGAGAGCAGAGCGGCCGCCGTGGAGAGCGCGGTCCCCTCAGAGAGGTGGGCCGGTGGAAATCGTGAAGCGAAGGTGCCATGGAAGTATGTCAAAGTAGTGTGGATATATTATGCACAACATACTTTTATATACAAGTATATATATATATATAAAGCATTTAATACTATACTTACTAAACATAGATATATAAATATAACTAAATATACCCTAGCTTTGAAAAACCATTAAAGGACTGGTCGACTTGGTGGTGTAGTGTAAGAATCCTTAGTAGACCAATGGTTCTTTGGTAAGGACTATTAAAACAAGGGTTGTTCGAATCCCAGGGTGTATAGAAGTCCAAAGAGTAAGAACGGAACCCTGGTTCCTCATACAGTGGTAGCTGGGATCCACTGGGATGTACTTCGACTTAGATCTATACTAGATCTATATTGTATATATGTGTATATATGCTTTGCTTAGTGATCAGATGTAGCACCAGTTACATGTACATGACACAGCTTGTATAGATGTATGTTTCACTGCAGCCGTTTGTTCAAGTTTGTGGTTTACTTTTGTGTTCATTTCGATACCAGAGCTTACGCGTGTTTGAGCTAAAAGTGTGCCTAAGCTTCAGCTACAACCTTTGGGACTGTGACCCTCAGTCACTGAGTTTAAGAGCCTAAATTCTCCGTTCATGGTAGCGGAGCCGCGGTTCTAAGACCCGGCTACCGTCTGCGAATCGAAGGTTGCCGAGCCGCATCGGCTCTGGCACCGGAGATCTACAAAACAAGCACCACTTGCAGGAAAGCCGGATTGCTTCAATCCCTGGCTAGCAAGTCAACATGGCGCAACAGCCAGGAGCACAGGCACCACAAGCCACAGACATGGCACAACAATTTGCACAGATGATGCAAGCCCTAGCACAGGGGCAGAACCAATTGCAACGAGCAATGGCAGAAGCATATACACAACAAACGGCAATCACAAGGAACATAGCCACCAGCGTAGAAGTAAGAGACAGATCAGAATTGAAAGGCATTCCAAAGCCTGACAAGTTCAGTGGACATACAGGTACCTGGGACTCATGGTACTTCAAGTTCAAGACTTGGATTGAGACAAGTCACAAGAATGCAGGAAAGTGCATTCAGCTCCTCGAAGAGCATCAAGATACAGAGATCAATGAGACATCTCTGGAAGATGATTATCCTGAAGGAGCCGAGCTTGTTTCAGCTCAGGCCCGACAGGCTCTGATCTCACTATGTGAGGGAGAAGCCCTCGAGATTGTCAAGAATACCTCCAGAGGTCAGCACTTTGGCCTAGAGGCTTTGAGACGATTGATCACTAAGTATGATCCACAGAACCCACAAGCAAACTCAGCTTTGCTGAAGAAGGTCCTGCACCCACAACAGTGTGCACTGGACAAGCTCAGAGAGAGCATAGAAGCCTGGGAAAACATCAGGCGAAAGTACGAAGAGCGAAAGAAGAAAGCTCTTGATGATGACATAGCAAGAAGTTGTCTTCAGCAGATGTGTCCAGCCAAACTTCAAGATCACCTTGACCTCCAGAGTTCAAGACTCACTGACTATGCCATCATGAAGTCAGAGATTTTGGCCTACCTCGAGAACATCGAGAGCCGAAAAGAAGCAAAGACTGGATCAGCACCAATGGATGTTGATGCACTAGCCGCAGTTGCCAGCCAGATGCAAGCTTCACTTGCAAGTCTGGCCAAAGCCAAAGGAAAAGGCAAAGGTGGCTCAAAAGGCGGCAGAGGAAAAGGAAAGAGTCAAGATGGAGGCAAGTTCTTCATGGTCCAATCCCTCGTCATGGAACAACTCATGGAACAAGAACGATTGGTATAAGAATGATTGGAACAAGAGTAGTTGGTACAACCAAAACTCCAAGGGTAAAGGCAAAGGTGGCAAAGGAAAGGACTCTAAAGGTAAAGGCAAGAGTAAGAGTAAGAAGGTAGCTTCAGTGGAGGAATCTGAAACCTCTATGGCTCAAGAGCATCAACCCGAGCCTGAGTATTCCGCTGACATCGCCACCCTCTTTGCCATCGAGATGGAGAAAGCAGCACCTGCCGCAATTTCTCGTGGAGCAGCCAAGGCAAAAGCTGAGACTGAAGTCAAGGCTATGCCAAAGAAGCCAGGAGCTGGAAAAGGTCGTCCTGGAATTGCAGCTGCTGGGATTGCAGTCATGAACCAAGCAATCCAAGAGACCATGCAGTCCAATCGCGAACTGTATGAGAAGAAGTCCGAGACGATCCAGAAAGCCATTGAAGAGGCCGAAGCCAAAGGCAAAGCAGCCAATGACGCCATCTTGGAACAGCAGGCCGAGATGAAGAGGCTGAAAGAACAGTATGAAGAAAAGGAGAGAGAAGCCAAGATCTTGCTGAAGAGACCAACTCCTCGCCGCGCCGCTTCGGTGCCGGCGGAGTCGCCAAGGCTCTCAGCTGATTTGGCATCAGGCATGGACCCAAGATTGGCCAAGAAGAAGGAGAAGAGCCGTCAGCGCGCCGAGCAACATCGCGTTGAGAAGGCCCAGGATCGTTTCGAATCCTGGCGCGACTATGAGGCCAATTACCCCGAGGAGCTCGACTACTATGAGATCGCTCGTGCCAAGGGTACTGGTCGACTTCAAGCTTGGGATGATGAAGATGATGAGGGAAAGTTTGATGAAGTCCCTCAGCCTCGAGGTCGGGAAAAGGCCCAGAGGCATCGTGGCTACAAGAAGCCAGGAAAGGCAAAGAAGCCTGAGAAGCCAAAAGAGAAGGAGCCCAAGATCGAGGATCTTTCCACTCAAGAGTTGGCAGAGATGAAGCGGGAAAGCCAGACATGGACGGCTACCAGCCATCCAGCCCGCAGTGTCATCGACAAAGCGCTTACTGCAGCTGGGTTCAACCCAGAGGACTACGTTGTGATGAAGCGCGTCGAAAGCCAAGGCGAAGGAGCAACAAGTGCACCATCCTTCGCAGCTCCAGTCATGGAGAACATCAATCCCCTTGATGTGACTGAGATCGAGGGACTCGAAGAAGAAGAAGAGTTTGAAGGTGAAGTTGAAGAGGATGAGAATGGCACTGAGCCAGCTGACGATGAGTCAGATGGACAAGAGGAAGAAAAAGAGAAAGACATTGTGCCATGGCTCGATCACATGTTCCAAGAGCGCATCCTCAGCTATGATGAATGGGTAGCCAAATGCACCCACAAGAACAGAGATGGCAGCAAGCACATGGTTTGCCGTGCGTGCAACAAGGCCCTGAGGTGTGACAATGACACCGGCCTATGGAACCATCATATGGCTTTGAATTGCTGCCCACCAAAAGTCCTCAACCAGTGGGCAAAGGAATGGACGATCAAGCAGAAAGAGATGGGAAAGCGCATCAAGACTGCCAAGGGACAGCAAGGCAGCCCAACTTCAAAAGATGCGCCAAAGCATGTGAAAGATGCCGACATGGATCTGAAGCCCGAAGATGTGGCAAAGCATTTGAAGATGAAAGATCCAAAGCTTGAGACCGTCAAGAACGAACCTCCTTTCTACATGACAGCCCATATGCAGAAGATGATGGAAGAACAGGTGGAGGAAGATGAGGTCGGCCCAAAGACGCCAAAGCAAAGGCGCATTGCCAAGACACCTCCACTTCCTGAGAAGAAGGGCAAGACCAAGGAGGAACGCATGGCCTGGTTCAAGAGCTCAAGAGCATATGGAGCGATTCCGTGGACCAGGATCCAAGCCAGAGGAATCCAGCGAAGCGCCAAGGCAGACGCTTCGGCTGAAGTCCCGGTCACGATCCCCGGGCAAAAGCCGAGCCGCTTCGGCTCCGGCTGCCTCCGAGAAGGGCCAAGGAAAGGGCAAGCAGAAGAAAGTGCAGTTGACTCGAGCTGTCAACGTGGCCACTCAGGATGCTGCCCGTGAGGCCAAGAAGGGAAAGGGAAAACGATATCCCACTCCCTCAAGTGAGCCTGATGAAGGCGATGAAGATCCACTCGCTCTCAGGAGTTTGGAGCTGGCATCCATGGAGACGCCAATGGCTCATCAGGTGACCTTGGATTCAGGAGCCGCGACCTCCTGCATCCCTGTTGAACTGGCCACCGCATTGGGCTACAAGCCTATCCAGCCTGAAGGCACCTGCAAAGTCTACAAGACTGCCTCAGGCGAAGTGGTCAAGGACCTTGGCAAGATCGATGCCATGGTGACCATCGGCATCGGCCAGAACTCCCTCAATGGACGTTGCTGTTTCCGGGTGATGGCGGTTGTAAAACCGCTGCTCTCCGCGGGGGCCCTTATGAGCAAGGGCTGGTCCATTCAGATGCACGGATCTGGTGGACATATCTCCCGAGACGGGACTAAGATCCCGATCTCGTTCAGCAACGGCGTCTGTCCTGTGCCGATTGCATTCCACCCTTTCGTCCGGCACCGCAATGGGTAAGTCCGGTAGTGGACGAACAGGCCGAAGAGGCCGAGCCAGGCGACGAAGTTCCGCCTGAGCTCAAAATCAATGCTCCCATTCGCCCGACGCGAAAAGAGTTTGAAGAGCATGCTGTTTCACACTTTCCTTTTAGGTCTTGGTGTGAGGCCTGTGTAAGGGGAAAAGCTAAGGCAAACCCCCACAGGAAGATAGACCACACCGATGAGACAACCCCAGTAGTAAGTGTAGACTACTGTTTCATGAACTCGCGGACTGATGACGTAGTTTTGGACGAGAAGACTCATGCACCAATTCTTGTTGTCAGAGATCGATGGACGAAGCATCTTTTTGCTCATGTGTTGCCCTACAAAGGTGTGACAAAAGGTCCATATGGATCCAAAGTACTTTTGAACGACATCAAGAAACTAGGATACTCCAAACTGATCATTCGACATGATCCTGAACCTGCTCTCACATCCGTTGTTGAGGCAGTAAAGAATGGGTTTGAAGGAACCCTGATCATCGAGAAGAGCCCGAAAGGAGTCAAAGAATCCAAGGGAGAGATTGAACGAGCAGTTCAAACCTTGGAAGGACAAGCCAGGACTCTTCGAGCCGCAATCGAGTCGAACTATGGTGAGAAACTTCCTGACGATTCACCTGTTTTGACTTGGTTGGTCGAACACGCATCCACTGTCTATAACTTGTTTTTCCGATCCACCGAACTTCAAGACGGAAAGACTCCGTATTCACGACTTCGTGGACGTGAATGGAAAGTAGCAATTCCACCATTTGGTGAGGCCATCGAATACCTCAAGAGAGGTCACAAGTTCGAGGCCCAATGGACCAAAGGAATTTTCCTAGGAGTGAAAGACACCACCACAGAGAAGATAGGAAATTCCACAGGCGTTTTCACAGTGCAATCCATCCGAAGAAAGCCAGAAGAAGATCGATATGATTCAGAGTTGCTGAAATCGATCACTGGGATTCCCTGGGATCCTCAAGCAATTCGCGAAGAACCAGCGATTGCAGCCCCAAGGGAGCCAATCATTGCCAGCCCAAGTGGTGAAGCTTTAGTTCAACCACCGGCAATCGATGACAAGAAAAGAAAGCTGAGAAGACTTTACATTACCAAGAAAGACCTGGAAAAGTTTGGGTACACTGCAGGTTGCCCAGCTTGTGATGCCACACAGATTGGCAAGAGATCTACAGGCATCCATCACACCAACAGGTGTCGAGACAGACTTGAAGAGAGCATCAGAGGAGAAGAAGAAGAGAACCCAAGAGTAGCAAGACATGAAAGCCGAGTTGGAGAGGCAATCACTGGCATGCCACAACCAGTCAGTGGTAAGAGACCTCAAATCCTTCATGGATATGAAAGCAAAAGACCATCGGGAGTTCCCGATTCGTGTCGAGTGTTCGCACGACTTGACGTCGAAGCTTACTGTTTTCAAACCACCATGCCAGGAGGACCTGATTGGTCTACCGTCTGGCGCCGAGTCACAAGAAACCATGCAAACAATGCAATCATCGAGAGTGGAGTCATGACAACAGACCTTCCACCAGAGATACTCAATGGAGCATTACCACACAAGATGGACATTGTGACAGAACTTTGGTACGAACCAGAACCAGCACCACCAACACCAGGCACAGCATCAGCTTCAGCATCAGGTATTCGCAGACCACGCGAACCTGAACCACATGGAGAAAAGAGAGAGCACGAAGAACAGCATGAACCAGCAGGATCACCCATAGCAAAAGCCAGAGTAGATAGAGACAAGAAGAGAAAAGCAGAAGGCGAACATGAAGATGAAGCCGAGAGAACAAGAGACATCCAGAGCATTGAGATGGCTCTAGAAAGCCTAATCCTAGAAGACAGAGAGAGAGTGCTATCTAGCATCGACCCAGAGAAACCAGTGTGTGAAGAGAAGATCCCACTGCCAGAACAAATGGCAGAAGAGGCAAAAGACTGGTGGTACTACGATGACATCAGTGGAAAAGAGCTTCTACCTGAGAAGGTAGAGAAAGCCAGAAAAGACGAAATCGACATTGTCGAATCAATGGGAGTCTGGGAGAAGATCCCAAGAAGCAAAGTTCCAAAAGGAACCAAAATCATTGGAACTCGATGGGTAGATGTGAACAAGCAAGATGAAACCAATCCTCTCTACAGAAGTCGATTGGTAGCACAAGAAATCAAAAGAGGCTCAGGTTTTGGCAAATTTTTCGCAGCCATGCCGAGCCTAGCAGCTTTGAAGCTACTGCTAACCATTGCAGTCAGCGACAGCCTTCCATTGGAGAAAGGCGAAAGAAGAAAAGCAAAACAATCATTCCTAGGATTTTTGGATGTGAAGAGAGCTCATTTCTACTCCAAAGCAACAAGAGAACTCTATGTTGAAATTCCATCAGAAGGCAAGAAGCCAGAAGATGGAGATGTGGTAGGAAGATTGGTCAGAAGCCTTTACGGCACCAGAGACGCACCCATGAATTGGGAGCTGACCATTGCAGAGTTTATGAAGAAGCTAGGATTTGTTCAAGGCAAGTCCAACCCATGCATCTACTACCATGCATCCAGAGAACTTCGAACAGAGGTGCATGGAGACGATTTCACGACAGTTGGAAGTTTTGATGACATCAAATGGTTTCACACTTCAGCAGCCAAAGAATGGCAAGTTGTGGAACGAGGCATTCTTGGTCCACCAGGTTCACCAAAGGCAAGCCAACAGATCAGAGTGCTGAATCGCATCATCACCTGGTCAAATGAAGGCATTTGGTGGGAGCCAGATCCAAGACATGCAGAGTTGATCATCAAGTGGTTAGGCACTGGTCAACCAGGCAAGGTCAAAACACCTTTGGCCAAGCCAAGTCAAGAGGAACTCCAACACGAAGAAGTTCCGCTGAGTGCCGAAGATGCAACGATGTATAGATCTATTGCTATGAGAGCCGCGTATTTGGCACAGGATCGACCTGATCTGCAAACTGCAACGCGCTCATTGGCACAAGGTCTACAGAATCCAACATCGAGGCACTGGAATATGCTGAAACGATTGGCTCGATATGTCAGGTATCGACCAAGAGTTGCACAGTTGTTTCCAAACCAAAGCACCTGCAACCCCTTCAACATGTGGTCAGACGCCGACCATGCAGGTTGCATAAGGACACGAAAGAGTGTGTCAGGAGGCGTGCTCATGGCCAACAAATGCTGTCTCACTACGTACAGCAAAGGCCAAGGAGTTGTCTCCCTGAGCAGTGGCGAATCCGAGTATTACGGACTTGTTTCGGGAGCATGTCAAATGCTTGGAATCGCATCAACTGCAAGAGACTGGGGATTGTTTCCCAGCAAAGAGGTGACAATGGACGCTTCCGCTGGCATCGCCATGGGAAACCGTCGAGGCTTGGGACGAGCTAAGCATGTTGACACTCAGTACCACTGGGTACAAGAGCGTACAGCAAAGAAAGAGTTTCGTCTCAAGAAGGAAGGCACCGACCGAATGTTGGCCGACGTGCTAACGAAAGCTGTCACTGAAGAGAAAATGACTACAGCCATGAAAGGCATGAACTTCCACTACCTGGAAGGTGAACATGAACTGACCCTGAAAGCGTGAACGGCTTGAGCTAGAGTAGGTACTTCTTCAAGACCAAGATGTACTGAAGGGCTACGAGCTAATTAAGTGCTAACCCTGACTCGCTTAACTTCTGGGAGATGTTAAACTCGGGAGGCGTGATCAGATGTAGCACCAGTTACATGTACATGACACAGCTTGTATAGATGTATGTTTCACTGCAGCCGCTTGTTCAAGTTTGTGGTTTACTTTTGTGTTCATTTCGATACCAGAGCTTACGCGTGTTTGAGCTAAAAGTGTGCCTAAGCTTCAGCTACAACCTTTGGGACTGTGACCCTAAGTCACTGAGTTTAAGAGCCTAAATTCTCCGTTCACTTAGAGTCGTTGCTTTTGGAACATGAGCTTCTCCTTCACCTTCCGGACGTGTTGTGCCACCCCGTGCCTCCGAACCTTCCGGGTGCCTCCGCCCGCGTCGTGGCCGGCCCAGGCCCACCTTGACCTTTGCGGAGATGATTCCCAACTGCCCACCCGTGCTGAACGACCTCTTGGAGCTCTGCTTTCAGGTATGCTTGGTGGTGTCAGGTATGCTTCGAGCTGTTCAATGGTCGATGGACCTGTGCGTTTCCTTCAAATGAGTTCAACAGAAACACCTGCAATAATCTCTAAAACTCTCAACATCAGCTGGGGCCCAGTTGGCTAGACCTGTATTGGACCGTATTGGGCCCATCAATGAGCAGATGATGTGATAGACCAGACAGAATTGGGGTCTCTCTCACACGGTCCTCTCTGGGAATCCACCATCACTTGATTCTGCCCTCCCGTGAGACAAGACATCATCCCACGACGGGGTGAGCTCTCGGTTCCGTGGATGGTGATCGATGAATACACCATGAATAGGAGCCCGGCCAGGAAGGTCAACCTGTCGGTCTCCTAGCTGTGACCCACGGCATCCAAAAACCTTCAATCCTCCCCACATTCCATTGGACATAGATCCCTCTGAGAGTCAGTTGGAAACATGATCTGACAAGACTTAATTTACCTGAGAACTTCATTGGACTTCTGTATGACTGCATCAGGGCAAAACATATAAGGTTGGAGGCCATCGCTTCTAGGTTGGAGGCCATCGCTTCTAGGTTAGAAGATGTTGGAAGCTATTCTTTTCGACCTCTCCGCTTTCGATGTCTTTTTCACGTCTGCCGCACCTCCAGTGGAATCCCATGAAGCGGCTGACGGCCTTGGAGGTGTGGTCGGGGTGACCCCACGAGCGAACCCGAAGCCCCGAAGAAGGGGTGTTTGGAAGCTCAACTAGGGAGAACATGGGAGACATTCAAGGACCTCGGAGGAAATCAAAGACTTAGCTGAGCTGTGCAACGTTAAAACATGGTTTTGCAAGGGTTGTTGTGATGGAAACGTTACGGTCCAGTAGGTCTCAGGAAGTCGAACCATGATTTTTTGTGAAACGATGTTGCATCTCAAACAATGTCAACTTCAACTTCAACCACACTTCTGCGAGTGGGCCATATATATGAGCCATACGACCACCCACAGCATGTCAAAAATCAGCGATGGCTTGAATGGTAGGCCCCAATTCCTCGGACTGAGGACGCCATCGTAGCACGTTCACCTGATAAACCTCCTTTGCCGTGCCCCAAAACCCCGATCGCCGGCCGAGCAGTGCCGAGCAGTTCCACGGTCGTTGACCGGTGTGAGTCAGGCGTTGGTGGTGCGTTTGGTTGGGGGGTTGGTCCTGAAGCTGCTGGTGGTGTCGCAAAGAATGAGATGACAAGATATGTCGTACAAAAGTCCTTTCCAAAAAGGGATACTCTCTTGTAAGCTCCATACATATACAGTTGCAAGGATCAATCATGTGTTTGTTCATGTCTTTGTTTCTCTTGACAACTTTAAGTGTTCAGGTCTTTCCGATTGTGATCTTTTGTCACAAGTGCACATTGTCAAGCATGTAGATTCTGCAGCAGGGCATGCATCACAGTAAGGTGGTTCCTCCTCCACTGAGCAGTGATGAGATTGTTTGAGGTCTGCTCATGATGCCGCCGTGGGAATATGTCCTGATGTAAGCCGAGGTTGTCTGATCATGGTACCATGCGTGGTCAAATTCGTGTAGGAGGGCTTGACATGCCTAGGATAAGGAAAGACGCAATGTGACGCAATTGTGCTACTCCTTCCACTGAAGAGTGATGAGATTGATTGCGACGGGCTGTCTGA